CGCAGCAATTAACACGATAATCACCACACAGTTATAGGCCTAACGATTACCTGTGCAGTGGAATGTTATGAAGATTTCATATTTGCATTTACGGGATTTTGGCACAATTACACTTTAATAATGTATTTTGTTGAACATATTGTCATTATTATGCTACATCGCAATACATGAACAACCATTTACCAATCCACTGGTGGATAAAGGCCTCTCCATGCCGTGCCAATATATCTTCATGTAATATATTCTACATGCGTAAAATATGTGTGTGTGCAAGCTTTTACTCGAACAAACATGAGATAATTTGGCAAATGTGTTCTCAATGCAGCCGAAAAAAGGTCGGAAGGCTATAGCATAATTAAATTAGACCAACGGGCAATGATGGATACGTATGTTTTCGTATGATATCGCACGGGGTTAACCAAGAGTCTCAAGCATAACAAAGAAAACATAACCCGATGCTCCCATTTTACAAATCGAAATCAATTTGCAGATAAACAATGCGTTACCATTCACTATACTGTCTGTTAAAATTGACTACATTGAGCTTCTTGACATTTAAGGACAGCAGTGACAGAGTGCTGCAGGGACGCAGTGGACTTGGGTGGCCTACGAGTTGAAAACGCTTACGCGTCATATGGAATCACCGCTGTGTCCCGACGCGTGGTTGTCATGAGCCTTCACATTCCTGTCTGCCCTATGCGTATTAATTTGTATTGGCCTTCCAGACGTTTTGAGCAAGTGCTGCTCGCGAGAACAGATTCAGATCAATACGGCGCACGCGAGGGATGGTGTAAGTAAAACTAAAATAAACTAAAAAAAATTTTATTTTACCAGGTAAACCCCACTGAGCTATATAGTTTTTTTTTCAGAAGCGACCTGGCCACAAATGATACGTCAACGAAGTGGCTTATCACGTGACATTTTATAGCAGCCGCATAGTATAAACCAATTTTTCTATATGTGGAGGGAAAAACCGGGGGACCCAGATAAAAATCCACGTAACCACGGGGAAAACATGCAAACTCCAAATACACATATTCTTTGGGTCTTTCAGTAATGTCACGTAGATAGGTTCAAATTTATGAAAGAAAAAAAACCACGACGTTTCTATCACAACACAAGCGATCGTCATCAGGAGGAAAAAGAAGGGGAAAGCTGCTGAGGCAGACTGTTTAAAAGGTTTAAAATTGTTGGAGCCCAAGGATCATAAACGAAGTGGGCGGGGCTAGTGATGTTAATGTGACAAATTAGCATGTTAATGGCAGATCGGAGAGGGGCCTCCACGGCGAGGGTGCGGAGGTGGCTATGTTTACTGAGTTTGTACCCTTCCTCTCGGCAATCATTGGAAGGACGTTATCAACCAGTTTAAGTCATAACTGGCTGTGATGTCCCCATCCTGCCACCTTCCAATGTTAGTTTTTTTTTATTTTCCCGGTGGCATCGGCTCTCCGATTTTACATTAACAGGTAAAAAAAAATTCACACTAACATAGTCACCTCCGCGCGCCGACCTCCACATGGTTGTGGCTCTGCGATCTTACATTACCATGCTAATTTCTCACATTAACATCACTTGCCCCGCCCACTTCGTTTATGACCCTTGGGCTACAACCATTTTAAACCTTTAAAACAGTCTGCCTCAGCAGTTTCCCCCCTCTTTTTTCCTCCTGATGACGATCGCTTGTATTGTGATCGAAACGTCGTGGTTTTTGTTTTGTGTTTTTTTTTTATTTGAACGTATCTACGTAACTTTATCGAAAGACCCAAAGAATATGAATTCCTGCAGTCACGAAAGCTTTAAGTCAAGATTCAAATATACAGCATGCGTCAGGATCTGTTATCTAACCCACGACCTCCTGTATACCAGGCGAAATAGTTAACATATCGCTTTGGTCTCCCCAGTGCTGATGAGGAAATATTGCAACATGGCACTGATTCTAGCGAGAAGTCGACCTCGTGGAGTCCAAAAAACAGTTAATATGTCACTTTCCAGTGATGTTATCCGTGGCTGGTAATCGAACTTAGCAAAAATTTGTATCGCAATTCACAATCCAATACACTGCCGCTCCACGCACAGAGACAAAAAACACAATAAATACAGAAACACAAAAACACACGGGTACGGGGATGGGTGGGGGGCAGTAAGAAATGTGATGTGGATGGTGTGGCTTTCAATCTTGATCTACTCTGATTTCAATCGATACTTCCATTAATGTGTGCCACTCTGGAGAGGCAGAACCACAAACCCACAGCCCACCGTTATGTCCCCGCTTCTCGCAGAACCCCCACCCAGCTAGCTTGCGCATTGTGCGTGCGTTTAGCCGGAATGTTGTTTAATTTGTGTGGGGGGGAAATGATCAATATTTACACCGCTTAATATTAGCGCTGCCCAACCATTTTTCTTGGTCAACCTCCCGCTATTTAGTGGGTGGGACATTAATGCCGCGTAGTTTGCATTGTTTATTCAAATCTAAAATAATCATCAGGAGGAATGCACTGTAAACAATTGCGCACACTGCGCGCAGTTAAAACCGCGTGTCCGTGTCGAGGCGATATCGCTACAAATGATTACGGAGCGCGTTGCGCAATTACGCACGCCCGCGAGGGGAGCGGGACGCGCGGGAGGAGGAACGCAGGATGGAACGCGCTGCCATCAGCTGTGCTCCCATTAGGCGCTTCCTCGGGGAAGTTTGTGTAAGCTCACAGCTCGGCCACCCACGCGCCCATTCCTCCTTACGGTCAGCCTTTTGGCGGGCATTTGGCCGTGTGGACGTGACACAGGGAGGAGGAGGAGGAACAGGATGAGGTGAGGGGTGGTGAGTGGTGCAGTGCCCGCCCGGACCCTGGGGATGTGATGATCCTGCCAAGACCCCCACCTCGCCCCGCCCGCCCCCGTACCCCGTTCCCATCCGTCGCTAGCAGCTGTCGCCGCTCCGTGTGCCCTCCCTGTGTGAGCTATCGTCTGTCACCCGCACGCTATCCACACGAATAGCGAGCATACTGCAACACTGTGTCGCGAAATCTGTATGTGAAGTGAGCCGCTTGTGATATGTCACGCCGCTTGAGCGTAAAGAGACAGTACCAAGGCAACATAATAAAACATAAAACAAACTATTGCAGAACATCTAAACTATAAGCGTGGTATGGATTATTTCAATGGCTGAGATTATATACAAATCAACACACGTGTTGTAAGAAAGTGACTGCGCCTTTCATATTTAGAAAGATAATTACGGTGTGGTTTTGTCTTCTAAACCCAGAACATTTATGACAAAATCCCATGTTGGTAATTAGCCGACGCGTCACCTGCAGCACATAGCGCGGGGGGGGGGGGGTAGCATTTACTCCACGTTCGGCGGTTGATGAACCCACCACGTGCGCCGCCGCGTTTCCTCGTGGCTTCTCAACCTCCTCGACTCCTCGGCATGCTGCGCGGCGCTGCTTGGCCCGCGCACCCGCGGGCCGTGTTTATGTTTTGGGTTTCGTAGCAGCAGCAGCTATCACAACAGCTATCAAAACAGCTATCACAACAACAATGGAGACTTCCCAGGGCCCTGTGTCGGGATTTAAATTAGAGCCTCGTCAGCGGAACGCGACACGCGGGCGCGCGGTTCGCGCACTCGTGCGAGGCATAGTCATCGGGGCTGTGTGAAAAGGGCGGGCACGAGAGAGGAGGAGGGAACGGCGAGCCTTACGATGCAGAACTAGAATATACATTTATACTGGAGGAATCCGATGAGCTTTAAAGCTATTTTTCATATATGTCAAGTCGGGGCGGGTCAGTACGTTACAACAATGCAAAAACATGATAGGCGTGCAAAGTGTAGGAAAGGTAAGAAAATCATTACAAAACAATACAAACAAATATAAATTTAATCTAGATCTAAATTATGTTTTCTTTTAGCAGGTAAAGCCCACTGAGCTATTATCTTCTTTTTTTAGAAGCGACCTGGCCACAAATGATAGCTCAACAAAGTGGCTTATCACGTGGAAATATATGGCACCCAAACAATTGCGACGCTGAGCTCGTGGGTCACATTTCTAGCCACCTGACTACTTCCAACAACAAGTTTCAGATTTTACTGCGTAGCGCACTTCATAAAAGCGTCGCGCGCCCAGCTGTTATAAAGTGGCAGCGCCCTCGCAAACGAGGGCGCAAAAAAAGCGTGAAACACTACCGCCGCTGCCACTCGCCTCCCCTGTGGAGTTTAAACCTCTCCCGGCAGTTTCGCGAGCTCCAACTCCCTGCCTGCGACTGTTACTGAGCGTCAAGACAACATCGGCCAGACTTTAAATAACCGCCGAGAAGTGCGGAGTCGTTTACTGACTCTACACGGGCGAAGCGCAAAGAGACGCTGCTGCTGCTGCTGCTCCATAATTTCGTATTCACACGCATTATTTGCAAATTACGGCTGATACCTCATTGAATAAACATGCCACACATCCATCATTGCAGGATTTTGACTGTCCCCGCTTGCTCATTGCAACGGCATCATTTTAAACGTGTCGCAAAGTGAAACACTTATGGAATGTGAGATGATTCTAAGACGTATCCCGCAGTCAGATAAAGTTTTCTCCACCGAGCGCTCGCTTTGTTGCTGTGCACGTATGCATTAAAATACAAAGATCCCCCGTATAGTCTTTAAAAACCGTTGCGGCAAGTGCTGTTAGCGAGCACCTACGAAGGCCGTACGTATGCATTGCACAAACACGCGCGCACAAAATCACAACTTTCAGCCAAGTTTGTGTTGAAGCACAGGCCTAACTGTAAGTCTTCTCGGGAGTAATTACCGCCGATGGCCGGTGTTTGGTATAAACAATGGTTTTAACACGACGTATCAGGGCGCACAAAGGGCGCTTTGAAGTCCGGCCGCTTTATCTGAGCGGCGGTAATGGAAGGCGGGGCACGATTAGCGCCGCCCGTGGCAGCCGCGGCGAGCTCCAATCCCTTCGCGCTCTGAGCGCCGAGATTTTTGGGATGCATTCAGCTCGTTCTCCCCGATTGGCCGAGTGAGCCGGGAGATAGCGCTTTTCAAGGCGCCCTCGCCTCCTCGCCCCATTCTCCGCATCGCCATTTAAGCACGCGTTGGGCGCGCCTTGAAACTGCTGCTTCTCGCGCTCTCTGTCTCTCTCCCGTGACAGGCGCGGCACAAAGGGAGCGAGCGCCGTCGCTGCTGGGGGTGGCGAGCGGCTTGGTTCGGGAGAGAAGTGCGCGCGTCGCCGGATCCGCGGCGCCCGGGAATCGCCGCGCTTTGCTCCCGCCTCGCTGCGTATTTAAGCGCGGACGCGGCGGCGCGCGGCGAGAACGCACGGTGCGTGGTCTGTGCGTGAGGCTCATACAAGGAGCAGCAGCGCGGCGCGGAAACTTTATCCGCCCGGGACGCGCGCTGCCCAGTGATCGAGGCAGCGAGCGCGGTGGTGGTGAAAGACAAACGTTTTCCATGACGTTGGGGCGAGTTGGTGGTGGAGAGATGGCGCGGCAATCTGTGCTGCTGGTGCTGCCGCTGCTACTCCTCCTACTGGGCTCCGCGCTGCCTGTGTCGGCTCAGCACCATGGCGAGAAGGGCATTTCCGTACCGGACCACGGCTTCTGCCAGCCCATCTCCATCCCGCTGTGCACGGACATCGCCTACAACCAGACCATCATGCCCAACCTGCTGGGCCACACCAACCAGGAGGACGCGGGGCTGGAGGTGCACCAGTTCTACCCGCTCGTCAAGGTGCAGTGCTCGCCCGACCTGAAGTTCTTCCTGTGCTCCATGTACGCGCCCGTGTGCACCGTGCTGGAAGAGGCCATCCCGCCGTGCCGCTCGCTGTGCGAGAGGGCCCGCCAGGGCTGCGAGGCGCTCATGAACAAGTTCGGCTTCCAGTGGCCCGAGCGGCTGCGCTGCGAGAACTTCCCCGTGCAGGGCTCAGACAGCATCTGCGTGGGGCAGAACCAGACGGACGAGACGGGCGGCTCCAACAACGCGGCCCCACCGCACCCGCCCCCGGCACACGGGGGAGACGCGTCCACGCCGAACCCGCCGCCCTACCGGCCCGGGGGCCCCGCGGGCGGAGGAGCGGGAGGTCACGGCGCACACTACCCGCTCATGTCGTGCCCTCGAGCCCTCATGGTACCCCCCTACGTCAATTACCACTTCCTGGGCGAGAAGCACTGCGGATCCCCGTGCGAGCCCAGCAAGCCCAATGGCCTCATGTACTTTGACTCGGAGGAGCTGTGGTTCGCGCGCATGTGGGTGGGCGTCTGGTCCATCCTGTGCTGCGCCTCCACGCTCTTCACCGTGCTCACCTATCTGGTGGACATGCAAAGGTTCCGCTACCCGGAGAGGCCCATCATCTTCCTGTCGGGCTGCTACGCCGTGGTGTCCATAGCCTACATCGTGGGCTTCTTTATGGAGGACAAGATTGTGTGCAACGAGAAGTTCGCGGAGGACGGCTACCGCACTGTGGTGCAGGGCACAAAGAAGGAGGGCTGCACTATCCTCTTCATGATGCTCTACTTCTTCAGCATGGCCAGCTCCATCTGGTGGGTCATCCTCTCGCTCACGTGGTTCCTGGCTGCCGGAATGAAGTGGGGCCACGAGGCGATCGAGGCCAACTCGCAATACTTCCACTTGGCGGCGTGGGCCGTGCCAGCCGTGAAGACCATCACCATCCTGGCCATGGGCCACGTGGATGGGGACGTCCTCACGGGCGTCTGCTTCGTGGGCATCAATAGCATCGACGCGCTGCGCGGATTTGTGCTGGCGCCGCTCTTCGTCTACCTCTTCATCGGCACCTCGTTCCTGCTGGCCGGGTTCGTGTCGCTCTTCCGCATCCGCACCATCATGAAGCACGACGGCACCAAGACGGAGAAGCTGGAGCGGCTCATGGTGAGGATCGGCATCTTCAGCGTGCTCTATACGGTGCCCGCCACCATCGTCATCGCGTGCTACTTCTACGAGCAGGCGTTCCGCGCGCAGTGGGAGAAGACGTGGATCGCGCACACGTGCAAGAGCTTCGCCATCCAGTGCCCGTATGGACACTACCAGAACATGCGGCCCGACTTCACCGTGTTCATGATCAAGTACCTGATGACGCTCATCGTGGGCATCACGTCGGGATTCTGGATCTGGTCGGGCAAAACCCTGCAGTCGTGGCGCAACTTCTACAGCAGACTGAGCAACAAGCCCCAGGGAGAGACCACGGTCTGAGATTTTGGACCGTGTGAGATGCGAGTTCGTGCCCGAATAATCGCGCAGATGAATCTTCATCGGACTTATACATAGTGTACAAAGGCGTACATGATTAACTCTTCACTATTATTATAAGATGGCCTATTTTGTTAAGTTTACCTTTAAAAAAATCACGTCAGCCAACGCATAGTGTTGGTATAAATTAAATCACGAACAAAGCTTAAATCCCGACACTGGGGTTGGTGGGGGGGATGTTGGGGGTGTGTTCACGGGATGTTTAGTGCCGCACTATGCCACACAATTGAATGTGCCTGGTGTTACGATATTCGATAAATGTCCGCACGCATTTTCTGTAGTGAATCACCAACGGTCACCTCAAACCTGTGGTTGTAATAATGTGCCTTTTAATTCGTTCAAACAAAAAAAATACACTTCACTTGTTCACGAATGACGGTAATCTTGTAGGAAGTTTTCGTGTTGTATTTTTAAAGCTGTGAAGTATTTATTGTTTAATCTGCCTTAACGCTTTTTAACCTCGGACCAAGTAGGGCTATAGTAGCCGTAGCCTTGGCCACGTGGGCTCGCTCACTCACTGCTGCCTTAATCCGTGGCTTCGCGGCGCTCACTGCCGTCCCCGAAGCCTCCTTGTATATTCGCATGTATAGCTATTTTAAATATTAAACTTTATACTTGCCTACAGCAATAGCCTTGGCTCCTACTTTGTAATTTAATAAATTGACCTGTTTTTCCCAATACAACATGCACGTGGTAGTGCTTTACGGGTGTCATCGGTGTTTTTTTATAGTATGTGTGGATATATTGAAAGAGTTGCCTTTATACTTGCTCTTACCCAAGCATAATGCTCCATGGGGACCCATATTGAGGTCGTGTTCTATAATTGAGTGGAGAAGTTCACATCCATTTTACCTGTTAGCAGTTGTAAAACAAGTAACCTACGTACTCTTTGGTTCTTTCGGTAAAGTCACATAGGTAGAAAAAATAATAGATCACGACGTTTTGATCGCCACACAAGCAACCGTCTTCAGGTGGGAGAGACGATTGCTTGTGTTGTGATCTATTATTTTGTCTACCTACGTGACTTTACCGAAAGAACCAAAGAGTGGATTCCTGCAGTCACGAAAGCTACAAATCAAGAATGAAGTAACTTATGTTCTATTTATTGGTGACTGTCAAACACCGATCTACCAGTGGGTACTTACGTTTAGTCAGCCTTTATTTAAATATCAATATTGTACGTTTGTGTATATATGTAGGCCTATGCCTCATGACATTCATAACAGTAGCTGACTGGGAATATAATTTCACAATTCAACATTTACAAGATGCCAAATATGTGTATTATGATATTCATTTATACCAATTGACGCCACAGAAATATGCTTTGCATGTTTGGTATCCATCATAATACGGGAATGGTTGATATTAAATCCCGAAATTTGATATCACTGTGGAAGTGTTTGCGATCGTGCTGTACATCTCCCTTTTTAAATCTTTTATATTAAGTTCGCGTGCTTGCTTGCTTGCTTAGGACCGTGCAAATATTTCGGTCGTTTTTTAACCCACTTCCCGTGATCCAATCGAGCTGACATTTTCCACACAGACTCGTTGTGCCAGACAATTATTGTTCTTGAAAAAAAATTCCCAAAAAATTTTACACTGGTTAGGCAAAAAAATGTTTTTTACATATATTCAAATAGAACGCATTCATGGCTTTGGCTGAACGTCACAGTATAAGAGCCCAGAGTGTAACCCCTCCACAGGCCGTGGCGGAGTAGCGCAGTTGGTAGCGCCCTCGCTTCCCATGCCAAAGGTCGCGGGATCGATCCCCGCGTCCTCCACAGGCGAATATATTTTTAAATCCTTTATATTAAGTTCGCCGCCACGCATATAAAGGATTTATAGTGAAAAACTTTGTTTTTACGGGTTTACTTGTTTATATTGTAGTCCCGCGTGTTGTTCGGCATCTCCGACGTTTCGCTCCATATGGCTGGACCTTCAGCTCAACTTCGGCAACCAGGACATGCAGCAAAACGTCAGACATCACGCCGAACAACACGGGGTACAACCCGAAAGCATATCGGAGATCTGTGCTGCACATTCATTTGGAAACACGTGCTGAACAATGAAGGCTGTGAGGGTGGATCCCTCCAATTTTCATCCAAATTAGTTTTCAGTATCTTCCATCATTGTGTGTATGTTGAACTTATTTCGCACCATACGTAGCTAACCATGCTAATCGCAGGTGTGGGGGAAGGACAACAACCTAAACACAAATCAGTTCGAAAGAAATTAGTTTTCAATCTAAATTTAAAAGTGCATAGCTCCAGTGGCTTCTAATATTGGAAGGTTGAACGTTACAGACGGCCGCAGAAGCGCATCAGAAAGCGCGCGATGCAGTGACCGTCTTAGTTCGATGGCGAGCCAAAAGCCGCTGCTACGAGCGATCAGAGTTCACTTGATGGTTTATGCTCCTTGAGATCGGCAAGGTATTGTGCTTCATTTGTGCAAGTGACTCCATGCTGCATCAGCGTTTCCTCCTGGGCCACACTGCTCCTGCTGGGTTTGGTAGGCCTTGGTGACATTTCCTCGGGCTCACAACTTCTGCAGATTCTGCTGCATGTTTCTGGCATATGTCAAGCACGCTTGCACACTTCTAAACACCTCTTTCTATCATGGCCCCAATATTATTTGCGAGTAACTGGTAGCTGCGGCCTTTTGTCGCTTACTATTGGAGTTAACGTTACACTTCATGGGAGGCAAACTACTTTGTTCACTGGTGATTGGGATAATTTTATTTCAAAACATGAGACTTAAGGGAAATGTAGAAATTGAAGCTGACATTGCTCGTTGAGTCAATTAATACATTTTTGGGACGTGATATTTAGGTCCCAGATGAAAAAAAACATAGTTTATTCTTTTTCTAGTTAAAAGATTCCTCGTTCTTTAAGAACATAATTAAAATTCAGATCAGTCGTAATCGTCTGTGTGTGCAATGCCGAATAATGTAGCAATTATTTGGTGATGCTGTGTTGGCAGTGGTGTACAAGAACAATATCAATAACAAAAATCCACACATTGGTCTATAGCTGCATTAAATAATTGCAAATCCGACGTTTTGCGCAATGGGTCTTCGCACAAATGCTCATTTAGAAATATTCATGTGCTATGAAGAAGGGCCATTACCTGAAACGGTACCTATTATATATTTTTTTACTTTTAAGTCCGTGTTATTATGGACTAATAATTAAGGAGTTTTAAATCTGAACAATGCATAGTATTGTCGGAAGTCACCAGCCACTACGTTTACGCTGTGCAGTTACGTATAGTACTGAATATGTGCTGTGCGTAATATACAACTTGGCCACACGCAATGCGTAAAGGAGCGGCAATGCCCCGTAGGGTGTAAACATGCAAACCAATAAAGACATATCAATCAAATGCTCACACAGCTTTAAACAGTTTCATTAAAACGTAACGCTCTTATCTGAAGCCTCTTTATTGTTCGTGACATTATTAGAGTGGGCTGAGAGCTCTCGTGTTCCAGTCCACAGGCGGCTGCTGCTGCTGAGACTGGGTTGATATGCGCCGTCATGTGTAGCGTAGCCACGGTCTATTCACTTCTGAATAAAAGGCCTACTCAAGCCGTGGTCATCTCTCGCGAGGGTCTCGCAAATGCAAAAACATTATTTATCTGGCTCTTACACACAGCGAATTTCATTGCTGCATCTCCACATTTGACGTCCTCTCGAGCAAGTTATCTTCATTTCGCTTCATCGAAATCGACGAAGCGGCAAAAAATCCTTCTCATGCCCTATTTTGCCCAAGCTCACTGAAGTCAACATTACGTCTCTCTATTTGCGCATGCGCTCTAAATAACGTATTCCTCTTAATGTCTCAGAATTCTACGCACTCAACTCGGCGTTTGTTCCGAGTTCTTTGTCAATTCCCACCTCTGGGACGTATGTCATAGCGGGTAATGCTGATGAAAAGCTGCATTTATTCACATTGGGGTTTTGCTTTACAAGACTAAGCTCACGAAAAGACACTGCGACTTTCTCTCATATGCCTTTCTTTCCATTGTTGTGATGACGGTGCCACCTTGAACAAAGATCCCGTGTATAGCCTAAACAGACTTGGGGAAAGTGCTTTTAGCGAACACCTATGAAGACCGGAACGTATACATGGGGTGGGTGGCCAGCACCACGACCGACCGCCTTTGTCTTCCTAGTAGCCATGTTTACCAACCGCACTAGGTACTCATTTGAGGCTGAGTTGACCTAGGGGAGGCCCAGGACCGGCTCAGATATTCGTCACCGATGTTGGCTGTAAGCGGGAATTGAACTGGGGTCGCCGGGTTCGTAGCGCAGCGCGATAACCGATGCACTTCCGCTCCCCACCTAATTTGTATCCCTCTGACAGACATCTCCAATTTTCGAATCGCTCCATCCTACACTAATTCGCTTGGACTTAAAACACGTATAATCAGATCAGGTTATTGTGTTCAGGTGTCACCTCTAAGCCTGCCGAATCTGTTGCGATTGCAGGTGCTGTGAAATGTCATCACCTGGACAAACCACGTGGTTGAAGTCCAAAATAATACGGACAATAATTATACAAATTGGATCAAGCAGTTGATAATTACTCGATTCGCTGACCGATGAATATGGACTTGTCTACATTCATAGTCAACTATAATTTAGATTCACTGCATCTCCATCGCCTTGTACAATCCCCAATCCAACATGGGACCCCGCGTCGCTGCTTTTTGTCTTTAGTTTGTCCTTCGCCCGCACCACTGATTAACACGGTTGGTTACGTACTGTGCGAAATACATACATATATTATTAATATTATTGTATCTTTCTATTGAACAGCTCCATTAATGATTTAATGTATCACACGGAGCAACCATTTACCGACATGCGCAAATTGAAATTTCATTGCAATAGGCAATACAGTACAGTATGTACACTTAAACAAAACTAACTTAGGTTCAGAGCAAGCCGCTTGCCTAATTGTCACACTCAGATCAGTGCTGCGGCTTAAAGAACTCGCATTTCTTCATCATCGTCATCATAAGCCACTGTCAATCCACAGCTGGACCAAGGCCTCCCCAAGTCGCCGACACCTCTCTGACGATCCTGCGATCCACTCACACTGGCGCAATAATGGATTTAATTCCTCCATCCTCTCGGTGGTCGTCCTCTTTCGGACGCGTTTCCCCTCCTTGCCTTAGACACCGAAAACAAGCGCCGGAGTAGTGGCCACGTAGGTAGATATCCTATCCTTAATACAGATGGTCACTGCATCACGCGCTTTCAAATGCACTTCTGCGGCCGTCTGGAACGCTCTTCACTCCGATAATTGGACGCCATTGAAGCTATGCACTTTCAAATATAGATTTAAAACTCATTTCTTTAGAACTGCTTTTTTGTGCTTAGTTTGTTTTCCTTCCCCCGCACCTCCGATTAGCACGGTTGGATACGTAGGGTGCGAAAGAAGTTCAACATACATACATTGCACACACGTTTTGAGTGGTGATGGTGGCAGTGTTTTACTGGAGAAGTCGGTTTAAATCTGCAATTGATTTACAAACTCTCAAGTGAGCAAGAGGTGACTTACAGATTTGCTAACTCGACAGATTCGTCTTGGCTGTTCCAAAAAGTAAGCGAGGCTTC